TTTTAAAAAACATACTGGTAATACACAAAATTATATTGTAAACAATCATAACATTTTTATTTTTCCTTTAATAATCTTGGGGGGACATAGAAAAAAATCATTTACCATTTTATTCTGGTGGTCATATACAAGAGCCTCATGCTATTTAATGCCTATTTGGAATGTTTTTCAGATTTTTATCAAAAGGATGCTACAGAGAAAAGCACTTTAATTTTCCCCCCACAATTCCTCAGAAGGCAACTGTATCTGGCTGAAGTTATGAGTCAGTAATATATTTTCTTTCCTTTTTTTTTAAAGTTAATCCTCAACCGAGGATATTTTTTCCATTGATTTTTAAAGAAGGGAGGGAGGGATGGAGGGAGGGAGGGAGGGATGGAGGAGAGAAAGAAACATGTATCAGTTGCCTCCCACACAAACCCTAAATGGGGCCGGGAATCGAACCTGCAACCCAGCTACATGCCCTTGACCGGGAATCAAACCTGAGATCCCTGTTCATGGGCTTATACTCTAACCACTTAGCAATACTGGCCGGGGCAGTAACATATTTTCTATTGTTTTATTAGCACAATTTCAGAAATTAGCTTTATCTGTCTTTCTAATTGGCCTTTGGTTGGTAAGGACCACCTAACCTCAGCTTTATCTGTTCCTACAGGCTTTCAATCTAATAGTAGTTAACATCTACATTCATCTATACAACAAATATCTTTTGAACACCTAGGTACCAGGCTCTGTGCCATGCATTTGGGGATATGTGGTCAGCAGACAATAATACTAATAGTCCTTGCCCTCATGGAGCTTTCCATCTAATGAGAGAAACAGGTATTGATCAATTTAACGAATGATATAGTGATACTGTAAATATAACAAATGTATTAAGTCCTTTGAAGGAGATCACATGGTGCTCTGTGGTTCTAGAATGGGCAGAATTTACCTCCTCAGGGAGCTCAAAGAAGTTTCCCTGAGAAAGTGGTAATGGAGTTGAAAACTAAGAATCATTAAGTATGTGCAAGACCTTATGGCAAGAATAGAAAAGGGGGCCATCTCTTAGGATTTTAGTTAACAATCCAGGGTTGAGGTGATAATCATTTGGAGGAAGGTGGTGGTGGCTGCAATGAAGAGGATCAGTTGAAAAAACAGCCAAAATGAGAATCCTGAAATAAATAAATGATTGTCTGGGAATCCCTTTGTAATGCCAATATGCATTCCTTTTTCTTCTTTAGTCAAATTACTCTATATTAGTTCTTTTGCAAAGCAAGACAAAAAGGTACAGCAATCTAAGCTGAGTGGATATTAAGTTTTATAAAAAGTAATGTATTATTTAACAGCAGTTCATCATGGTATAATCAGATAATGGGACTGGAAATTTTTTACCATACTAAATCATTTAATTAAAAATTTACTTCTGAAGATTAAAAATGGTGGCAGAGTAGGAGGATGCTGCATGGACATGCTCCCAGGAACAAGCTGGAATTACAACTGAAATGCAGAAAGGCTTCCTGAATAATCAATGGAAAACTCACAGGAGAGAACCCTGATACCCAAGGACCGAAGGTAGAGACCACACAGAGACTGGTAGGAAGGGTGGAGGTGGGAAAGGGCTGGCCTGGCACCCTCAGATGGCAACTGAAGTCAGAGAGATATCTCAGGTGTGTGTGTGTGGGGGGGGGGGGGTGCCACTGAGACTCTGGGATCTAATCCCAAAGCTGAGCTCCCAGCAGAGAACACCAAACTGAGGAGGATACCCACATAACGTCTATCTGTGAAAGGCAGGGTGGTGCTGTCTGCCAGGGAGTGGCAGCTGTAAGTTCGGGCACCCTCTTAGAGGGCCAACGCACAAAAATTCCCTGTGGAGCCACGTAGCTTGTGCTCTGGCAGAGGGAGGGTGAAGTGGACTGGAGCTGTGAGATCAGAACCCAGGACTGGGGTCTTGGGGGATAGAGCTCAGAAGGCAGACACCCCAAGTTTCCTGGGCTGAGTCATTCCCTCTCACAGTAGAGGACATCTTTCCCACATAGACATCTGCCTTACCTGGGGAGGAAGATAGTCGTCACACCCTATTGGAAAACACCTTGCCCTGAGGCCACTTAAGAGCTTAAAAGTAACAATTAGCCTCCAGGCAGAAGCAACTGCCCCACCCTGTTAAAAAAAACTCGCCACACCTGAGGATGATTGCCTGAGGGGCAATTCAAGTCAGAATCCTATCAGTCTGTAGATGGAGGTGGTCTCTGGAGGCTTTGAGTCTTTGCCTGATCCAATAAGTCAGAAGCAGCTTTTAACACTGTCCTGCACTAGTGATTGAGAGGTATAGAGCAGTGGTCACCAACCTTTCAGACCTCACGGAACACCAGTGGTCTGTGGACGACCAGTTGGCGACTGCTGCTCCAAAGTTCCTTAAACCAGCAGTCACAGACCACCAGTTGGCAACCGCTGGTATAGAGGATCTACCTAAAACATTGTCACAAACAAAACAAACAACCAAAATCAGGAAACAAAGAAACAACCCCCAAATGAAAGAACTAGAGAATTCTCCAAAAGAAGAGATAAATGAAGCAGAGATAAGAAATTTATCTGAAACAGTTCAGAGTAATGATAAAAAATTCTCAACAGTATGAAAAAAGGTATAGTAACTATAAAAAAAGAACAGTCTGAGATAAAGAATGACATAACACAAATAAAGAACACATTGGAAGGAATACATAGCAGATTAGGGAAGCTGAGAATCAAATCAGTGAATTAGAAGATAGAGTTGAAAATATCACTCAAGCCCTAGCTGGTTTGGCTCAGTGGATAGAGTGTCAGCCTGCCATCTGAAGGGTCCCAGGTTCAATTACAGCCAAGGGCAAATGCCTGGGTTTCAGGCTCAATCCCCAGTAGAGGGTGTGCAGGGGGCAGCCGATCAATAATTCCCTCTCATAATTGATGTTTCTATCTCTCTCTCCCTCTCCCTTCCTCTCTGAAATCAATAAAAATATTTAAAAAAGAAAAGAAAATATCACTCAATTAGAGAACCAAAAAGAAAAACAATTTAAAAACAGGAGGACAGCTTAAGGGAGCTGTGGGACAATGTGAAATGTAACAATATCAGAATAGTATGTGTGCCAGAAGAGGCAGAAAGGGAGAAAGGAATAGAGAAGTTGTCTGAAGAAATAATGGTAGAAAACTTCCCTAACCTGGTAAACGAAAAGGTCACACAAGTACAGGAGGCACAGAGAACCCCAAACAAGAAGAACCCAAACAGACCCCACCCAGACATAATATAATTAAAATGCCAAAAATTAAAAACAGAGAGGAAATCTTAAAGGCAGCAAGAGAAAAGAAAACTGTTACCTATAAAAGAGTTCCCATAAGGCTGACACCTGATTTCTCATCAGAAACTCTACAGGCCAGAAGGGAATGGCATGAAGTACTCAAGGTAATGGAAAGCAAGGATCTGAGACCAAGATGTCTATATCCAGCAAGGCTATCATTCGAAATAGACGGTCAAATAATAAAAAAAAAAAAGAATGCTAAAGGAGTTCATCACCACTAAGCCAGCATTACCAGGAATGCTAAAGGGATTGATATAAGGGATTGCTGAGAAGAAGAAACAAAGAGAGAAACCTAGCCATACAGAATTAAAATGGCTATAAATAAGTACCTCTCAATAATAACCCTAAATGTAAATGGATTAAGTGCTCCAATCAAAAGGTGTAGGGTAGCTGAATGAATACAAAAACATGACCCAACTATATGCTGTCTGTAAGAGACTCATCTCAAAACAAAAGACACGCAGGATGCAAGTGAAGGGATGGAAAAAAATTTTCCATGCAAATGGATAAGAAAAAAAAAGCTGGAGTAGCAATACTCATATCTGGCAAAACAGACTTTAAAAGCATCATGCTAAGCGAAATATATTGCATGTAATATTATTATATTTAAGATCGTTTTTCTTGAAATATTAAGGCTTATTGCATGTAATATTATTATATTTAAAATTGTTTTTCTTGAAATAAAAAAAACTGAAAAAAAGAATACAATAATAATGCAATAAGTAATAATGCAAGAATAAACTTTCATGTACAGTAGGTCCTCGGGTTACGTTGGAGATCTGTTCCTACGGTGCAACGTAACATGATTTTCACCATAAGTTGGAACCCACCTACATAAGCACCTACGTCACTCACATGGAGCACATACACAGCAGTAATGAAGTGAAACAGTAAAAAAAATTTAAAAGAAAGATGACAATTCCTGATCTTTACTTGTGGTAAATAATAAAAAAAAAAACATAAAGCACATACGTACATAGTACATACGTCAAAATGACGGAACTTTTTTTTTTATAAATAAATGGGAGATGGTGACTAGTCCGACGTAACCTGAGGACTGCCTGTACTCAACTGTAAACCTACTTTTGCCCCCACACTATGTACATGTACACACACACACATTTGTTTTAGATTCAACATTTAGAGCATTCATTCTATATATCTTTTGATTTTATACATTTTTGATGTTCTAATATAAGACTTTAAAGTTATAAATTTTCCTCCAAAAATTGCATTAGCTAAATTCCACAAATTTTGATCATTGATCGGCTGCCTCTTGCACGCCCCACACTGGGGGTCGAGCCTGCAACTGAGGCATGTGCCCTGACTGGGAATTGAACTGTGACCTCTTGGTTCATAAGTCAATGCTCAACCACTGAGCTATGCCAGCTGGGCTATAACATGATTTTTTAAAATGCCCAGTATTCCAAAATTTACTCAAATATTTAATGAGAACTAGTTTGCCATGCACTGTTGGAAGAAATAAGATATATTCCTGCTTTCGTGGGTAGTTGAATTTTGAGTAATGTCTGTCAGAATCATTATTCTATTATGATTCTTTTTTTTAACAATAAAGAAACATAGATTGTCAAAGAAAAAAATTACTTCTATAACAAAAATAAAGAACACCCTAAAACTATATTTTGTTGTATGACGCATTTTCCCATTTATTAAAATGACTAGAGGCCCGGTGCACGAAATTCTTGTATTGGTGGGGTACCTAGGCCTGGCTGGCGATCATGGCTTATCAGGCCGCCTCGCCCAGTCTAGCAAGTCTGCTGGTATGAGTTGGTCAAAATTCCAGATGGAGGTTTCCAAAATGAGATGAATGTATTTGTACTTTTATAAAGTTGGCTCTTAAATATGTAGAAACATTGGTGAGTTCTGGAAAGAAAAAGAAAACAATTTTTATTTGAAATGACATTTATAAACATAGACTGGAACAAAAAATTAGGGTTGTTGATTTTCATTCTCTCTCGAAAAGTACAGCTTTAAAAAGATAAGTCGCTCATTGACTAATCTAGAATATTACAACTTAAGTAACAATTAACAGGCTTAATAAAAAGGCTCATTAGTAACTTTAACTTGGAAGGAAAGCTTATAACATAAGTTTTATAACAAATTACACATCAATTATACATCAATTCCAGCTTCTCCATTTGTGTGACATTGAGAAAATTACTTAACCCCTCATTATCAAATCTACAATCCTTCAATAGCAAATGCTAACTTCCTTAAGTAAAGATAATAGTGATGCCTACTCCTGATTATTGTGAGGAATGAGATAATACCAGTAAATTATTTACTACAATGTGTATTATAAACACCCAATAAATGTAGCTAGTATTGTTAACAAATGCCCCATCTGTGTTGATTCAAAAATGATACAAATGGGAATACAAAGGTGAATAAAATAAAGATGAATAAGATCCTCATGGTCTAGTGGAAAATGGTCTAGTGGAAAAGATATCATCTATAATAATAAAAGCGTAATATGCTAATTAGACCGGACATCTTTCCAGACATCCCTCAGACGACCTTCCAGATAAAGCCGGGGCTGTGAGGGCCGAGGCAAGCCACTGTGGCTGCAACGGCTGAGCCCCTTGCACAAATTTCGTGCATAGGGCCTCTAGTATTATATAAGAAGCAATGATTCATTTGAGGATCGAAAGAAGATTTTTTTCTTTAAGTATCTCATAGAATAATAAAAAAGCATTTTTTATTATTCTAGGTCAGGGTTTATCAATGTGACGTTTTGGGCTGGACAGTTGTGTTGTGAGGGGCTGGCCTGTGCATTGAACAGTGTTTTGCAGCATTTTTTGCCTCTACACACTAGATGCCAGTAGCACCCTCCCCACTCTGTGTGTTTGTATTGCTGAGGGCCATCACTGTGATCTCAAAGTCCAAGCCTGGGCATCAGTTTCCACAGACTATCCCCAGAACATTCAGAGCCTGCCATCTGGCCACTGGACTGCTCAGGGCCTGAGCATCACCACCTACACATTGTAGACTCCACTGATGGCAATGCCAGACAGCAAGAAATGAAATCTCAATCTAGGAATCAGAGACTCGACAAATCACCTCTCCTCAAGCCAGCCGACCAAGATGAGATGGCCAGGTTCTCAGATCTGGGTGTCACTGGGCAGAGTGAAATACATCGTGTTGGCTGCAGGCCTGTCAAGGCCCCTCTTTTCTCTCCTTCTGGCCAGTTGTTCTCTGTCAGGTTCATGGCTTCAGCTGATGCAAATGGAGTCAAACCAACTAACTGTACAGCATACCCCAGACAAACAGGGGGATCAGGAGTAGTTTTTTTTCTTGTTAGATAAATAGCCACACAATATCCTAGATTTTACTTAAAACACACACACACACACACACACACACACACACACACACACACACACACATATATATAATTGATTTTAGAGAGGAAGGGAAAAGGAAAGATAGAAACATGAACGAAGAGAGAGAGAACCATTGATTGGCTGCCTCCTGCATGCCCCACACTGGGGATGAAGCTGGCAACCCGGGCATGTGCCCTGACCAGGAATCAAATCGTAACCTCCTGGTTCATAGGCTGATGCTCAACCACTGAGCCATGCCAGCCAGGCCTTGATTTTGCTTTATGACCCTCAGAACCTAAAATATTTATTATCTGGGCCTTAATAGAAAATTTGTCAATGCCTGTTTTATTTACTTATTTTTAAAGTTAAAATTAAAAAAAGTTAAAATAAACATTTATTTAAAGTAATATATTTGCAGCCCTGATGGTTCTAAATTGTACATTTCAGGTTTAACCAATGTCATTAAAATTATGAGGACAGATGCAGACACAGATTTCAATTACATGATTATTTCTTCCTCCATTCTTCTCTTTTTTCCTTTCCCAAATAACCTCTTTCAGATATGGTTCAAGGTAGAATTTATCCTCCTCATATTTTGTCCACTGCTCTTTAGGCAAGTTCTGCTGCCTTGTCCTGACTGGATAGCTCAGTTGGTTGGAGCTTCGTCCTAATACAGCAAGGTTGCAGGTTCGATCCCGGGTCAGGGCACATACAAGAATCAACCAATGAATGCATAAATAAGTGGTACAACAAATCGATGTTCTCTCTCTCTCTTTCTCTCTTCTTTCCTCTCTAAAATAAATAAATAAATAAATAAATAAATAAATAAATAAATAAATATTTTAAAGATCTGCTGCCTCAGGGACAGGTCCAGTGCTCTCTTAATGAGAAACATGCTGTTGTTATATAGGTTCTCAGGAAGCCTTCTAATGGCTTTTATATATATATATAAGTATATATATATATTTTATTGATTTTTTACAGAGATGAAGGGAGAGGGATAAAGAGTTAGAAACATTGATGAGAGAGAAACATTGATCAGCTGCCTCCTGCATACCTCCCACTGGAGATGTGCCCGCAACCAAGGTACATGCCCTTGACTTGAATCGAACCTGGGACCTTTCAGTACGCAGGCCGACTGGCTTTATCCATTGAGCCAAACCGGCCAGGGCCTAATAGCTTTTTTTACATCATCATTCACATGTATTATATCGTCTCACATTAACCCCAGTTTATTGAATCCTGCAGCTACCAGGTTGATGCTGCAAACAGCAGGCCTGCTCATCATTTTGACCTGAGATTGAAGCATTGCCTACTGGTTAAGTCCAAGAGGGCCTAAACCCCTATTTTAGATAAATACTTATCTTACAATCATATAGAGAAACGTGTCAAAACATTTGATGTTTACTCTACCTGATGTCATCTTTGTAGCAAAAAATAAATAAATAAATAAGTCATGTACAAGTAAACAAACACCTGAAAGTGTTTTCCAAGATGAATACCCATGGAGCCTACACTTCAATTAAAAACTGTTGCTAACATCTAGTAGGTCTTTTTTCATCTTAGAAGAGGGAGGGATCTTGGCAATTATTTTCTAACTAGAGGCCCAGTGCACAAAATTTGTACATGGGGGGCCCTCAGTCTGGCCTGCACCCTCTCGCAATCTGGGACCCCTCGGAGGATGTCTGACTGCCAGTTTAGGCCCGATCCCGTAGTTGAATGTCCCTCTTGCAATCCAGGACCACTGGCTCCTAACCACTCTGCCTGCCTGCCTGATCTCCCCTAACCACTCTGCCTGTCTGCCTAATCGCCCCTAACTGCTCACCTGCCTGCCTGATCATCCCTAACTGCTTGCCTGCCTGCCTGATCGCCCCTAACCACCTCTGCCTTGGCCCCTGCCACCGTGGCTTCATCCAGAAGCACATCCAAAATGACATCTGGAAGGTTGTTTGGCTGTCCAGTCTAATTAGCATATTACACTTTTATTATTATAGATTACTGGCCTATTGTCATTATTTTATCACAGAGCCCATCATAGAATTAAGAACACAAAATAGCCTGTTTAAAATCCTTCAAATGCTTGTCTCAGTTGGTGCTTCCCCCCCCCCCCCGCCCCCGCCAACCTTTCTCTCTATCTCTCTACAACCTCTGAGTCTCAAGCACCCTTGCCTATGGATACCCTTGCCTATCAGGCTGTTTTTCCCAAATGGTGTCCCCAACAAGCCATGGACTATTACACCTCTGTGCCTTTCTATTGATGCTTTTCCCTTTGCATGGAATGTTCTTCTCAACTTCTTCACCCAATGAACACCTACTTTGGGATCCAACTAAAAAATCTCTCATCCACTGCACACCTGTATTCTGAAAGCACTTTGACCAGATTTCTGTTACATTATACTGTGTTAGTTATTCCTATGTCTCTCTCCCTTGATAAACAGTGAGCTCTTGGAGAGTAGGGGTATCTTATTTAGCGCTGATCCCCAGAGCCTACTGTAATGCCTGGCACTTGCTAGAAATTCAATAAATGTATGGTCGCCTTAGCTAGTTTAGCTCAGTGGATAGAGCGTCGGCCTGTGTACTGAAGGGTCCAGGGTTCAATTCCGGTGAAGAGTACATGCCCGGTTTGCAGGCTCAATCTCCAGTAGGGGGTGTGCAGGAGGCAGCTGATCAATGATTCTCTCTCATCATTGCTGTTTCTATCTCTCCTTCTCTCTCTGAAATCAATAAAAATATATTTAAAAAATAAAAAATAAATGTATGGTCAAAAAAAATATATGTATGGTCAATGAATTAATTCTGTAAAGGACATTGCTCCCGGCCAGCATGGCTCAGTGGTTGAGCATTGATCTATGAATCAGAATGTCACGGTTCGATTCCTGGTCAGGGCACATGCCCAGGTTGTGGGTTCGATACCCAGTGGGGGGGCGTGCAGGTGGCAGCCAATCAATGATTCTCTCTCTCATCATTGATGTTTCTAACTCCCTCTCCCTCTTTGAAATCAATTAAAATATATTTAAAAAAATAAAGGGCACTGCATGGCTCTTCCTCTCAAAAACTAATTCTTCCACTAAGAATTATTAGGTAGACACCAATCTACTCATTCTCCTTATCTAAAATTTTCTCTTCTTTAGAGCCATTTCTTTGATTTAGAGAAACAAGTCTATAAGCTTTCTGATGGCAAGGTCTGCATCCTAAGTATTTCAATCTTATATTTTACCTGAAAAAATAGAATGGGAAAAAATTAATGATCTCATTCACTAATACTAAATCCTTTCTGGAATTATTTTGGTTTGCTAGTGTTTTGCTTTTTTTTTTTTGTCTTCTTTTTAAAAATACAAATAGCCTTGACCGGTTTGGCTCAGTGGATAGAGCGTCGGCCTGCGGACTGAAGGGTCCCGGGTTCGATTCCGGTCACGGGCATGTGCCTTGGTTGTGGGCACATCCCCGGTAGGAGGTGTGCAGGAGGCAGCTGATTGATGTTTCTCTCTCATCGATGTTTCTAACTCTCTATCTTTCCCTTCCTCTCTGTAAAAAATCAATAAAATATATTTTAAAAAATAAAAAATACAAATACAAATAAACAAATCACTGCCTACCTTTTAGCCAGAACCACCATCTTCCAGTAATTCGCCAAAATGACGAACACAAAGGGAAAGACAAGGGGCCCCAGCTATATGTTCTCCAGGCCTTTTAGAAAACATGGAGTTGTTCCTTTGGCCACATACATGCGAATCTACAAAAAAAGTGATACTATAGACATCAAGGGAATGGCACTATTCAAAAGGAATGCCCCACAAACGTTACCATGACAAAACTGGAAGAGTCTACAGTGTTACCCAGCATGCAGTGGGCATTGTTGTAAACAAACAAGGGGATAGATCTTTGCCAAGAGAATTAACATACATATTGGGCATGTTAAGCACTCTTGGAGCTGAGATAGCTTCCTGAAACATGTAAAGGAAAATAACCAGAAAAAGAAGGAAGCCAAAGAGAAAGATATTTGGGTTAAACTGAAGCACCAGCCTGCTCCATTCAGAGGAGGATACTTTGTGAGAACCAATGGAAAGGAGCCTGAGCTGCTGGAATCCATGAATTTATGGCATGGTAAGTGTAAAAAAAAAAAAAAAAAAAAAAAAAAGACCGTGTCCAGTCCTAGCTGATTTGGCTCAGTGGCTAGTCACGCAGGGGTGGGCAAACTTTTTGACTCGAGGGCCACAATGGGTTCTTAAACTAGACCGGAGGGCCGGAACAAAAGCATGGATGGAGTGTTTGTGTGAATTAATATAAATTCAAAGTAAACATCATTACATAAAAGGGTACGGTCTTTTTTTTTTTTAGTTTTATTCATTTCAAACGGGCCGGATCCGGCCCGCGGGCCGTAGTTTGCCCACGGCTGGGCTAGTGTCAGCCTGCAGACTGAAGGGTCCCAGGTTCAATTCTGGTCAAGGGCACATGCTCGGGTTGCAGGCCCAACCCCCAGTAAGGGGCATGCAGGAGGCAGATGATCAATGATTCTCATCATTGATGTTTCTATTTCTCTCTCCCTTTTCCTTCCTCTCTAAAATCAAAATATATTTAAACACACACACACACACACACACATAGCCCAGTGTCCAAACTGAACAAAACTAAAGGAGTCAAAATGCTTTGCTCCTATAGTTTATCTTTGTAATGTATATATACATACACACACACCTATAGAGAGAGTATATATACAATCTCTTAAAGGAGAATGGAAGAAAACTGTAAGGAAATCTAGTTTGGCTTCCACTTAATATTCAGTTGTATTCCATGCTGGAAATGAAGTTAACCAATATGAATAAAGATGAACACCTTCTTGGATAATATGTTGGTATTTTTGAGCAACAAATAGCATAACATAATATTCAAATTGCTCTGCTTCATACCCTTTCCTCTTACCCCCCAAAGAGCAGGTAACTTATGGAACAGAATTAGAAAGACCAGGAAATCGATACCCAGCAAAGTATACTATTATGACAGCCCTTAACTCACAGAAAGCAGGGCCACCAATTTTGACATTCACATGGCCTTTTCTACCTTTCTAATTGTCAAAGAAATGGAGAGTTAAGCAGAATTCACCTTCAATAGCCTTAACCATAAAGTCCATCAAACAGGTTAGCACAAAGCGTGTGTGATTTAGTAGAAAGCGCATGTGATTTAGTACAAATAAGACAATGTTCAAACTTCAACATTGTTCCAAGTTTCATTTATATAATTAACTTTTACCTTTAAGTTGACTCATGTGTTTTTTGTTTTTTTGTTTTTCTTACTTAAATAAATGTATTTCAAAAAGCAACCACCCAGTTGGTTGGAGCATTGTCCTATACACCAAAAGGTTTTGGGCTTAATTCCTGGTCAGGGCCCTTACCTACGATTGTGGGTTTAATCCCCAGTCAGAGGGGAAATGGAGGCTATTGATGGATATTTCTCTCTCACATTAATGTTTTTCTCTCCCAAATTAAAAAACAAACAAACATATCCTCAGGTGAGGATTAAAAGAAAAAAAAGCAGCCTGGCCAGTGTTGCTCAGTGGTTGAGCACTGACTCATGAACCAAGAGTTCCCTGGTTGATTCCTGGTCAGGGCAGATGCTAGGGTTTTGCAGGCTTAATCCACAGTAGGGGGCATGCAGGAGGCAGCCAATTGAGGCATCTCTCTCAGCAACATTTCTATCACTCTCTCCCTTAAATCAATCCTATGTAATAAAGCAGTAATATGCAAATTGACCATCACTCCAACACACAATGGCCGCCCCCATTTGGTCAAAGATGGCCACCACAAGATGGCCAGCAGGGGAGGGCAGTTGGGAAGGCAGTTGGGGGGAACCAGGCCTGCAGGGGAGGGCATTTGGGGGGGACCAAGCCTGTAGGGGAGGGCAGTTGGGTGGGACAAGGCCTGCAGGGGAGGGCAGTTAGGGGTGACCAGGCTGGCAGGGGAGGGCAGTTGGGGGCGACCAGGCTGGCAGGGAATAGCAGTTAGGGGCAATTGGGCTGGCAGGGGAGTGGTTAGGGGGTGATCAGGATGGCAGGCAGAAGCAGTTAGGGGCAATCAGGCAGGCAGGCGAGCAGTTGGAAGCCAGCAGTCCCAGATTGGAGAGGTTGCAGGCTGGGCTGAGGGACACTCCCCCCATGCACAAATTTTGTGCACTGGGCCTCTAGTAAAAACATATGTTTTTAAAAAACAACCAACACTATTTTAAATGGAAAAACCAGTGATACTTGGCAATAGAGGTTATCTATTGAAATGACTTTATTAACACAAATGGTATTAAATCCTAGCTGGGGACCCTACCAAAATGTTAGAGATGTAAGAGATCACTAACCCCCAAACTAAGGACATTCTCTTTGACATAATCACAAAGATTGAGAAAGAACTGAAAAGAGAGTAACTTGCCCACTGGAGAGCTCATTGCTATTTAATGCTGTGTCCCTGTAACACCTAAAATCCTCGTTTCGGAAACATTGCAGTCCTCCTCCCAACTAGGCCTAAGTAAAAGAAACTATTCACACTAGTATCTGATAGAGTAGGTAATAAATCTTATAGCTCAGGGCACCAAAGTTCCAAAAATCTAATCCCCGAGGGAAAAGGCCACTTCATTTCCACTAACTTAATTGTTTTTTTAACTTTTTTTTTTAACAGTAGAGGTTGAGGAAACAACTAGAACATAGATCTGGAAATGATCAAGAAATACTGTAGGTGAAGATTCCTCCCAAGGTACTTACTTGGCAGAGGCCAGAGCATCTGCTTCTGTATTAGAGATGGCGACTGTTCTGGGTGGTAGGGGCAGGCCCACTCTCGTGGGGCATTGACTGCTGGGCCTCAGTAGCTAGAGCCAGGGACTCGGGGAGCGGGGATACAGTGTCAGGGACTTCCTGGCTTAGTTCCTGGCCCCCCAATGGCTCCTGGGCATGTGAAGATTGTCTGAGCTCAGTCTCTTGAAATAAAGTAGTGCTCATGGGGGCCTGTTGGGTGTTATACAGGGCCTGAGAGTCCTGGACAGCCAGGGTGACCCATGGGTCCACAGGTTGGGTCTGAAAAAATGGGGCTGGCGTAAGCTGGGTCAGAGGGGCCTGGGAGGCCAGAGCCTGGGTTTGGAAAGCCTGAACAGGTGGAGGCTGAGTTTGAGAGGCCAGAGAATGATTCTGGAAATCCCTCTCGGAGTCTCCTGGGACCTGGAAATGGCTCTGTGCAGCCACATGCACCAGGGGGTACCTCTGTGAGGCCATGGAAGCTGCAGTCTGGGTATCAGAGACCAGAATGTCCAGAGGCTGAGCTGTAGGGTACAAGGGGACACCAGGCAGGTTGTCAGAGGCAATGGTGACTAGAGGCTGGATCGTAGGCAGGCTCTTAGAATAACAAATCCTGAGAGGCTGACTGACAGAGGGCGATGGAACCACGGGCAGGCTCTTAGAGGAGACAATGGCGGGAGGCGGAGGCTGGTTCTGAGCTGATGAAGTGGGCTTTACTCGTTCTGAATGTTGTACAGCTTCCGGTTCCGGGCCCAGATCCTCTCGGCTCACGTCTTCAGCCTCGCTACTGGTTCTGACACTTGTCATTTCGTCTTGGTCCTGGTCCTCCTTCGGTAGCTGCTTAGATGCCTGGGCTGCGACGAGGGTCCTACTCAGAATGGAAGCAGCACTTTCGAAGAGTCTCCTGCGGCGCTGGCGCCGTCGGACCCGCGCCAAGGTGCGGGTAATGTTTAAGGTGAGCGACATGTGCTGGCTCGGCGCGCCCGTGTGGGCGGGCCTCTTCCAGGTGTCTTCGGGACTCAATTCGATGTTGCTGGTGTACCAGAAGACCCACCAGAGGAGGCTGAGGAAGATGATGATGGAGCCCAGGTAGAGCAGCAAGTCGTAGAAGATGAGGTCGGAGAAGATCCCCACGAACAGCACGGTCGCGCCCACCACGTCGAAGGCGACGCCCAGCCAAAAGAAATGCCGGCAACGGCCCAAGCACCTCAGCCTCCCGGCCTCCAACTCCGAGCTGCCTGAGAGCTCCATGACCTCCCACCGTCGGGGGCGCCGGGTCCGCAGAGGTGACTGCTTGGTTGGATGGCGCAGTCCCAGGCCGGCTGTGGCCGCTGGGTCCCCATCCCCATAGCAACGCCTGGCGGGTGAGCCGCGCAAGGGGCGGGGCCAGAGAGCGGCGAGCGGGGCCGCCTCTCACCTGCCCCGAGGAAACAGGCTGCGGCCCAGGAGAAGCACGCAGGCGCGGTACGGTCTCCTCGCCCGCGCGGCCGCCTCCTCCGCATGCGCAGTTCCTCCTGTCGGTGCGCCGTTCGCGCGTTCGCCGCGTGCAGGTTGGGTAGTGCGCTCTGCGGACCTCGGGCTGCGTCCGCGCCAACATTCCTCTGCCCACGCCCTGGCCTTCCAGACCGAGTGCGAGATCCTGCAGGAGAGCAGAGGGCAAGGGCCCTCTGCTAGTAACGACCCCCTGGCAGCCAGTACAGCTTGCCCTCGATTTCCCTTGTTTTTGGTGAAGAAGTGACTGGGTTAGGGTATGTTATTACCAATTTGTTATCTATTTGCCCAAATAGTGACTGGACTAGGACATACTTGTGCTACTTAATAGCAGACCTAGAGGTGAATTGTCGGTTTCTGCACACCCCCTACTGGGGATGTGCCCGCAACCAAGGTACATGCCCTTGATCGGAATCGAACCCGGGACCCTTAACGCTGACGCTCTAGCTAGCCACTGAGCCAAACCGATTAGGGCGATATATATATTGATTTCAGAGAGGAAGGGAGAGGGAGAGAGATAGAAACATCAATGATAAGAGAGAATCATGATTGGTTGCCTCCTGCACACTCCCCTACTGGGGATTGAGCCTGCAACCGAGGCATGTGCCCTCACCGGGAATCAAGCTGTGACCTGCTGGTTCATAGGTTGACGCTCAACCACTGAGCCATGCCAGCTGGGCTAAGATATATTTTCTTGTATCATTAAAAGGTTTACAGTAATAGTAACATCTTCATTTGAGTGCTTTCTGTGTGTCAGGTACTATGCTCACTTACCTCTTTATTTGAGTTATCATTTAATTCTCACAACAGTCCTCTGAAATAGGTTCTATTATTATCTGTACTTCATAGTTGAAGAAAATGAGAAATGGAAACCAACTTATTCAAGGTCACTAGGTTGCAAATCAGTGCATAATGTGGAACAGTGTAGTGAACTGGAAGTCAGGAGATAATGCTTCAAGACTTACTATGTGCCCTATGCTGTGGCTGCAAATGCATTTGAGCAGAGTGCTCAGAAACAGCTTAGAGCCCAAGGTGGAGAGAGACACAAGGCATCAAATTTGTGTTTTAGGTGCTGGAATAGAGGTACAGACAAGGGTCAATGGGGCCCATCAGTGGTAAACCAAGTGGAGTTCTCAGTTCTAAGCATAAATACTTAAGTGGAAAGGAGGACCTGAATGGGTAATGGGTCTTTCAGCAAGGTAGGGCAGTTGAGTGAACAAGGGATTATAAAAACACTGGCATATTAAGTAAACTGACAGCGGATCAGTTTGGTTGATGTGGGTGCCTGCGAATTTGGGGAGAGTGCTAGAGAAGTGGAGTGGAGACACATAAGTGGTGAAAGGAAGCTAGGGGGCTTGATGGTCAAAGGGTTTATGACATGATATAGAAGTTAGACTTTGTGAGTAGTGGAAAACCACAGACAAGTCCTAAGCCAGGGAATATGATCAACTTTACAGTTTTAGAGAGTGCCCTGTTCGATAGTGGGAAAAGTAGATTGAAGACAGCAAGCCTGTCATCAGGGATACCAGGTAAGATTAATGTAGTATTTTAGGAAAGGGGTATTAAGAGGACAAACTGAAGCAACAGTAGTAGGATGTAGAATTTGTGTCTCCCAAAAAAAGTATTAAGAAAGTAAAATTGAGCCGAAACCGGTTTGGCTCAGTGGATAGAGCGTCGGCCTGCGTACTGAAAGGTCCCAGGTTCGATTCCGGTCAAGGGCATGTACCTGGGTTGCGGGCACATCTCCAGTGGGAGATGTGCAGGAGGCAGCTGGTTGATGTTTCTCTCTCATCGATGTTTCTAACTCTCTATCTCTCTCCCTTCCTCTCTGTAAAAAAATCAATAAAATATATTAAAAAAAAAAAAAGAAAGTAAAATTTGACAAGGGAAGTCTGAAGGAGCTTCTATTAATGGGCCATAGCCTGCAGGTTAAAACAACAACAACACTGTCCTGAGGTCCTCCTCTAGCCCAGTAGCTTTTATTGAAGGTTTACAGTGTGTCTTTTAAATCACAGGCATGAATCCCTCTGTGAAGGTGAGGACCAACATCCATCTTATTCACTGTTGCATTCCTGCTGAAGGATCCTGAAACATTTTAAAATAGCTATTACAGCCAAAAATTCAACTCTTTCCGTTGACTAATAGAATTAAATTCTGTCATCAGATATGAGAATAAAATTCAAGTTACCTCGCAAAATATATTAAAAAAAAAAATAACCACATCAGCCCTGGCCAGTTTGGCTCACTGGACAGAGCGTAGGCCTGGGGACTGAAAGGTCCCAGGTTCAATTCCGGTCAAGGGCATGTACCTTGGTTGTGGGCACATCCCCAGTAGGGGGCGTGCAGGAGGCAGCTGATCGATGCTTCTCTCTCATCGATGTTTCTAACTATCCCTCTCCCTTCCTCTCTGTAAAAAATCAATAAAATATATTTTTTAAAAAAATAACCACATCAGAAGTTTTATGAAAAGCTGCTAAAGTTTAAACAATATGTGAGAAGATTTCAAATTATTTAAGTTGGACAAGGCTTAAAAGAAATTATACCTGTGTTTTTTCAATGTTTTTTAGTCACATGCTATTTTTGAGTAGCTACACAAAATATTATTTTTATGAAAAAATGCTTGCTTTACTTACCTGATAGTAAAAAGTAGTGTTTATACAAGAACATAGATTGGAACATTTCAAGCCAAAAAGCACAACCAGCAGTGGATTGTTAAAAAGCCATGTCATGTCAGCTCTTTTTCCTGAGGTAGGATCTTGATTAAACAATCATAGCAACATACTTCCTCAGAGGAGCTATTTTCACACTTAAGATTAGTTTTTTCTTAATTAAGACAATAATTTAAGTATTTATTTACTAGCCAAGAAGGAATGTATGTATGTATTTATTATTATTATATTTTTAAAATTATTGATCCCTACTAATGTTAGGTATTATTCTACGTCTTTTTTAAAAATATATTTTTATTGATTACAGAGAGGAAAGGAGAGGGAGAGAGAGAGATAAAACATCAATGATGAGAGAGAATCATTGATCGGCTGCCTCCTGCACGCCCCCTACTGGAGTCAAGCCCGCAACCCAGGCATGTGCCCTTGACTGAAATCAAACCTGGGACCCTTCAGTCCGCAGGTCAACGCTCTATCCACTGAGCAAAACCAGCTAGGGCTAAGTCTTTTTTTTTCTTTTAAGTATATTTTTTATTGGTTTCAGAGAGGAAGGGAGAGGGAGAGAGAGAGATAGAAACATCAATGATGAGAGAGAATCATTGATCTGCTGCCCCCTGCAAACCCCTTACTGGGGGTCGAGCCTGCAACCAGTGCATGTGCCCTTGACTGGAATCAAACCCAGGACCTTTCAGTCTGCAGGCTGACACTCTATCCACTGAGCCAAACCAGGTAGGGTTGTATGTATTTTTTTAAAATATATTTTATTGACTTTTTACAGAGAGGAAAGGAGAGGAAGAGAGAGTTAGAAACATCGATGAGAGACAAACATCGATTCAGTTGCTTCCTGCACACTCCCTACTGGGGAGGTGCCCACAACCAAGGTACATGCCCTTGACCGGAATCAAACCCGGGACCCTTCAGTCTGCAGGCCGACACTCTATCCACTGAGCCAAACCGGTTAGGCTGTATTTTTTACAAAAGAATTTATTAACCAGATGAAACAAAAGAGAGACCAATAGCTCCCAACTAAACTGCATTATCAATGTAAGATAAATCTACTATTTATTTTACATTGCCTACACATTACAATCACTTGGAGAATTTATAGCAAATATTGATGCCTGAGCCACACCCCAGAGAGTCTATTTAATTGGTCTTGGGTATCACATCAGTATTTTAAAAACAATTTTTAGGTGAATCTAATGTGTAACCAAAGTTGAAAACCATTGTTTTACTAGTAAACCATTGTCTCACATACCTCAGAGGCCAATTAACAGTGTAGAAGAGTAGAATGACCATCTAGATTTAAATATTGAAATTTTATTTGTTTCTTTGTCTTTCTCATTGCAGGCTATATACTTGTTGAGGGCAGGAACTATGTCTTATTTATCTTGATAACCTCACAGGCTAGAATAGAACTGGGCATATAGTCTCTTAATAACGTATTTTGGAATAAAGAAAGAAATAATAGGACTTGGTAATTGTTTGGGCATGGGATGATTCAAATAGTGGAATCAAATATGTAACCTTTTAAAATTTACTTACTTATTGGGCACATGAGACCCTGAAGAGCAGTTGGGTCTTGGTTCTATAGCTCTCCTCTTCATAGAGACAGTCTTTGAGGGAGGGGGAAATATCCTGTGAGAGAAAAACACAAAGACCTTACTTAGACTTCAGCACGCCTATGAATTATCAGGATATGAAAATCCTGAGAAGGGACAAAAGACACTCACCCTGCCCAAGTTTAATCAGCAGGGGTTATTGTACTGATTTTGTTCATGTTTTCTGGGGGCCCCCTAATTTGAGCTCTCTATAAGTAGTATAGGCTATAAAAG